GGCTGACGGGGCACAGCCTGTGTCCCTGCCTCCTCCCCTCCTGACAGCTGCACACCAGCTGGCCGTCCCCCAGGACCAGCACTCGCCCTCGGGGGCTGGGGGCTGAGCAGAGAGTCCACTCCACAAGGCCCAGCCCACGCCCGCCCTGCGCCCTCCTGCTGCCGTTCTCCCAAGGGGCTCCGTATCCTAACTCCCGCCTTTGTTCGTACTCGGTCCTGTCCCCCATCCCCCACCCGCCAAAATCCTCTCAGGACCCTTCCAGTGCCACCTCTTGACAACACATCCGGACAACCTCAGAGGTGGATTCTAATTCTGCTCGCTTTACAGATGGGGAAACTGAGGCTCAGAGACTTGAAGTTCCCACGGTCCGTTCCGAGATGGAGCAGGGCTCCGGACAGGGCAGTCCAGGCCAGAGCGGGATTCTCGAAGGTCACGCTCCAGCGCCCCCCTCCCCACTGTGTGTCACCCCCACTGGCCCTGAGCCCTGGAGAGCAGGCCCGCGTCCCCTCTCTTCGGCCGGGAGAAGTGCCTGCATTCGGCGGTGGGGCAAGCTGGGGCCGGGGCAGGGGCTGGTGGACAGTGCACTGGCTCCCAGCCCGGGATGGCTGCCCTGGCGCAGTTTCTAGGCCCCGAGCCCGGCACCGTGCGGACGCTACGAGGACACGGCCCCTGCCCGCTGGGCTCCAGCCAGCTGGCCCGGCTGCAGGATCTGCTCCGCCTCAGCCAGGCCCAGGGCACCTGCCAGGGCCGTGCCTCCCCCTCAGGCTGGCTCCCAGGGCAGGGCCGAGCCTCCCCCTCAGGCTGGGGAAGGCACCAGTGACCCCATTTAGCAGATGAGGAGAGCAAGGCTCGCTGGCCTGGCCGAGGCCCTGGGGTGAGGGAGTGGCAGAGCAGGACTTGAACCCGGGTCTCCGGGCCTCCTGTCCTTCTCCCCGCCAGCTCTGTGCCTCCCCCTCAGACTGGGTGGGCGGGCCTGGGGCCAGGCTGTTCCCGCAGAGAAGCAGCACTTTCTCTCCTTTCCCTTGTTCCAGGCTATATTTAGAGGCCGAACAGGGGGGACACGGGGGAGTGGGTCCCCCATGCGCCTGCCGGCCGAGCGCGCTGCTTGCCTGGATGCCCCACCCTCCCCTCAGGACCCAGGACCTGGCCGCGGGCTCACCCTGGGCCGGGGTCCGAGTCCCGGCCTGTCCTCCCCGGAGCCTCGGTTTCCTCGTGTGGGAGTGGAGGCGGAGGCCTGGAGGCGGGACGGGAGGAGTTAGCGCACCAGGCCCTTCACGGGGACCCACTCCGTGAACCTCTCGGGGCCTGCAGGAAGGAGGCTGTGCCGTTGTTACATCACCGTACAGGCAGGGAGACTGAGGCTCAGAGAGGTTAACCAACCTCTCTGAGTGACCAGAGTGACCAGCAGTGAGTGGAGGCCAACCCCAAGCCGGCACCTCCCCTGGTCACTGTTATTGTTCAAATGCTCCCCACAACGCCCGCCGTCCCCGGCACCGCCAGCCGTGACAGCCCGCACCGCCCTGAGCCCCGTCTTCCACGGGACCGCGGACAGGCCCAGCCCCGGCTGGCAGGCAGGGGTGCGGAGCCCCAGTGTGGACGGTGGGAGGAGGGGGCACGGCGGAGGCGAGAAGGCGCCGGCAGGAGCTCGGGGGGTGCTGAGAGCGTGGATGGTGGGTGAGGGCGCTCTGCCGAGGGGCCAGCAGGGCACACACTTGACCAAAGCAGATTCGGGGGTTTGGGAGGGGAGCCGTCCCAGAGGAGCGCTGAGGGGACCAGAAGCCGAGGCAGTGGGGCCCAACAGGGAAACCAAGGTCCAGGGGGGACTGTCCTGCCTGAGGCCATGCAGAGGAGGGGCGAGGAGGGAGGGCAGCTCAGCCCACACACTCCCAGTCCAGCTCCTTCCCGGCCCCGGGAAGGGGAGCGCCACGGAGGGTGGCTTCTGGAGGCCGTCAGCAGGCCACCACCTCCACGGGCCAGTGCTGGCTCTGGAGGCCCGCCGTTTGAGTTCCTCCTCCTTCAAAACAGAATAAGCGATGCCCCAGAGAGTGGTCACTGAATAATTACATCAGACATCAGTCTCTGTGAGAGGTGAGGCAGAGGACTGGGATGTGCTGGGGATGCGGGAGAAGGGTAACTGGGGTGGGGTGGTGGGGGTCCTATAATGTAGACAGAGACAGCCAGACTCACAGAGAGAAAAGGGGAGGGTGGGTGCAGAAAGTCAGGGGCAAGGGCCCAGGCTGTGGCCAGGACCAGGGCTCAGCGTGTGACCAGGCTCAGGGCTCAGCGTGTGACCAGGCTCAGGGCTCAGCGTGTGACCAGGATCAGGGCTCAGAGTGTGACCAGGATCAGGGCTCAGAGTGTGACCAGGATCAGGGCTTAGAGTGTGACCATGGTCAGGGCTCAGCGTGTGATCAGGGTCAGGGCTCAGCGTGTGACCAGGGTCAGGGCTCAGAGTGTGACCAGGGTCAGGGCTAGAGTGTGACCAGGCTCAGGGTTCAGCGTGTGACCAGGATCAGGGCTCAGAGTATGACCAGGGTCAGGGCTAGAGTGTGACCAGGGTCAGGGCTCAGCGTGTGACCAAGGTCAGGGCTAAGTGTGTGACCAGGGTCAGGGCTCAGAGTGTGACCAGGGTTGGGCTCAGAGTGTGGCTGGTATCAGGGCTCCGCTGTGTTTGGGATCAGGGTTCAGCCCCTTGGAGCTGAGAACCATCAAGTGCTTTGCAGACATCTTCCTCTCCACACCTGTGTGGCCTCTGGGGTGTCCTGAGTATCCCGCACGGCCCCCAGCTCCGAGGCCCCAGGCCCTGCAGCCCTGGCCTGGACCCCCCAGCACCCTCAGCGAGTTGCCGGCACCATGCAAGTCTGGCCCTGGGGAGTTTCCTGGGAGGACAGAATCCCCGGGGCCAGCGTCATCCTGGGACAGTGTCCCAGAGGAAACGTTCTGTAATGTTTATTATTTGTCTCTGATTGTGACACTAATGTGGACCCAGTGCAGACACACTGGAAACCCGAAAAGCATGCGGAAGGAAATGCAAAGAGCCGTTTGCTGTGTGTCCCTGGGGCCAGCTCCCAGCGCTCCTTCCGTGTGTGCATGGTTTTTTCACAGAAGAGAAGGGACGCGCTGGGAGGTACCCCCTCCTTTCCAGGGGCCTTCTGGGGCCCCCTCTGCCCAGAGGATGAGGCCCACAGCCCTGAGGCACCAGGCTCCCAGCCCCATGCCCCGGCCTCACTGCCTCCCCTGGCGGCCCCCTCGCGCCCGCCTGTCTCTCCCTGCCCCAGACGTCCCTCACGCTCCCTGCTCCTCGAGCTGCCATTCCATGGACACGTCCATCGACCCTGCATGTTAGGGGCTGGGGGTACCGAGCAGAGGACAGCCCAGCCCAGAGAACCCCGTGAGCCGAGGCCTGGCCCCGCGTGCAGTGGGGGTGGTCAGGGGGGTCGGGGACAGGCCCGGCAGCACCTGACTCCCCAGCAGCCTTGGGGGTCAGCAGATGCCCAGAGCAGGCGTCCCAGCAGCAGAGGCACAGCCGGGTGACCTCGGGCAGGTGCTGATCTCCCTGAGGATGGAGGTGGCCGCCTACCCTGCCCGGGCCTCCCTCCAGGCCGGGTTGGGACCTGAGCCTTAGCTACGGAGGGCTCCTCTGCTGTGCCCACCCCTGCCAGGCTGGGCATTCAATCCCCCAGTCCCCAGGCAGGCAGGACTCAGTGTCCCTGGTCCGCAGGGTAGAGGCTGCCAGAGGGAGCCTGTTGCCCGTGGCCGTGCAGCCGGCCAAGGGGAGTGGGCAGCGTCCGGCCTGTTCACAGCAGATGCCTCACTTCCATCGGCCACCAGGAGCGGGGGAGGGCTTTCCCTTCTCCTCACAGCGGGGGAGGGCGCACATGCACCCAGGACGTCCCCACGCCAGCCCTCCTCCCCGCTTCTCCCCAAAGCCTTCTCCTTTCTCCTGAAAAAGCCAGAAATGCCCTTATTTGGAGCATCAGCCCGGCCTGAGGCGGGGCAGGGGCCTGTTAACCCTTCATTTATAAATAAAGGGATAAATCTCGGCAAGTTAAACAGCTCAGCAGGAATATAAACAGAGTGGGCGGCCCGGCCGATCCCCCCGCTGCCCCCACCGCCCCACCGGCCTGTCTGGGCCACCAGGCAGGGAGCACACGGTTTATTTAACTCACACCCGCCTGCTGCTGCTGGGACCCGGCTCCAGGCTCAGGCCTCAGCGAGCCACCCGGCACGGGCCACCAAGACACAGGTGCTCACCTCTTGCGGCTGTGAGGGAACCGGGGTGGCCAGTGGGGCTAGTTCTTGAGCCCTATCCTGGGCCCTTGGACAAGGTCCCTTGTGAGGACCCTCACCCAGGGCATTGACCTGGTTCTAGCCTTGCAGGAGGTGAGAACAGATGGGTGGCCTGGAAGATGGGGGCCATGATGCATGGGCGTGGGGGCAGCAGGGTGGGGCAACCATAGGCTGTGCTCTGTCTATGCATAACTGTGGTTTATCCAGCACCAACTAACCATATGCTGGACGCTGCTGTGCTCAGCTGATCCTCCCAGCAGCTCCTTGACCCCAACCATATAGATTAGGACATGAGGCACAGAGAGGTTAAGTAACCTGCCCAAGGTTGCACAGCGAGTGAGGGCGGAGCGGAAATTAGAGCCCGGGCTCAAACACCACACACTGAGCCTTGCGTCGTACCTGTGGCACAGCCATTCCCTTTGTCTTCTCTCTCAGTCCTGGCGACAGTCCTGCACAGGACGGGTTTTTACCTACATCGAGGAACTGGCCCGAGCACTAGCATTCTGCAGAGCTCCACGTTGGCACATGCCGGGGCCAGGCGGAGCGGGGAAGGCAGGCATCTCAGGGCCAGGCCAGGCAAAGGCACGAAGGCAGGAAGGTTGGAGCACGCGGTGGGCAGACGAGCCACGTCCAGCCTCCAGGCAGGGCCCCAATGACCCCCAGTAACTGTCTCCTTCCCTCCAGGCCCGGGGCGCGTGCTGGCCGCTGTCATGCCCTCTGCATCTCCCGTGGGGCCCTCGGCCGGGCCAGCCCCCAATGCCACGGTGGCGGTGGCAGCGTGGGCCAACGTCAGCATGCAGGAGAGGCCGCTGTTCCACCTGGTTGCCCAGCTGGACGAGAAGCTGCACGCTGCCTTCCCGGGCCTGTGGCTGGCGCTGATCGCCGTGCACGGCGTCATCTTCCTGGCGGGGCTGGTGCTCAACGGGCTGGCGCTGTACGTCTTCTGCTGCCGGACCCGGGCCAAGACGCCGTCGGTCATCTACACCATCAACCTGGTGGTGACCGACCTGCTCGTGGGCCTGTCCTTGCCCACGCGCTTCGCGGTCTTCTACGGCACGCGCGGCTGCCCGCACTGCGCCTTCCCGCACGTCTTCAGCTACTTCCTCAACATGCACTGCTCCATCCTCTTCCTCACCTGCATCTGCGTGGACCGCTACCTGGCCATCGTGCAGCCCGACGGCTCCCGCCGCTGGCGCCAGCCCGCCTGCGCCAGGCTCGTGTGCGCCCTTGTGTGGCTGTCCGCAGGCGCCGTGACCATGTCCGTGCTGGGGGTGACGGCCGGGGGCCAGCCCTGCTGTCACGTCTTGGCGCTGACCGTCTTGGGGTTCCTGCTGCCGCTGCTGGTCATCAGCGTGTTCACGGGCCGCATCGTGTGCGCGCTGTCGCGGCCGGGCCTGCTGCGCCAGGGCCGCCAGCGCCGCGTGCGCGCCATGCAGCTGCTGCTCACCGTGCTCGTCATCTTCCTCGTCTGCTTCACACCCTTCCACGCCTGCCAGGTGGCCGTGGCGCTGTGGCCGGACGTGCCGCTCCACGCCAGCCTCGTGGTCTACCACGTGGCCGTGACCCTCAGCAGCCTCAACAGCTGCATGGACCCCATCGTCTACTGCTTCGTCACCAGCAGCTTCCAGGCCACCGTCCGGGGCCTCTTCCTCCAGCGTGGAGCAGCGTGTGAGCCCGGCGGCAGCCATGCGGTCAGCATGCACAAGAGCTCCAAGGCCTCAGGCCACCAGCATGTCCTCAGCGCCAGCCCTCATGCCCTCACGCAGGCCCTGACTAACGGGCCTGAGGCCTAGTCAGCAGGCTCTACAAGAGGCCAAAGGTCAGAACCAGGCTGGGCATGCCAGGTCAGAGACAGTGCGGGCCTCCGCTCCGCCCGAGTGGCAAATCGGGTTCGCCTCGATTGATTGGTGATGGCTGCCCAGGACACTGCAGGGAGAAAGATTCTAAGGCCACTGCACTGTGGTTGATTGGCAATGTCTGCTACAAGCTCCAGAGTGGGTGTGGTGGTCTGAATGCTGATTATTCGCCATCCCTAGGGTGTATATTGTGTCCACTGAAAACTCAGAGGGGTAGCTGGGAGCTGCTTCTTGCCTGGGCCATTTTGCCGCCAGAAGGGATTTCTCAGAAACAGGGACAAAGATATTTTTTGCTACCGGGAATTCCGAGGAGGATTAAAAAGACAACCTGGAATGGTCCCCTTCTCTTTCTCCCACATGCCCCCTTCCTCCTCCCCCACAGAGAGAGAACAAGGGCAGAAAAGAAATGTCAGGGGACAGGAATGTCACGCGAGGGGTGCGTGTTTCTGTAGGGACCCCGCCTGAGGCCTCCAAGAACCACACACAGTAAGACAGTGTGACACCCATGGGTGCTTTGCTGTAAGAACTTGATACCTGGGTTGACGCTTGAACCCACAACGACCCCACACAGGAGCACTGTGGTCTGCCCATCCCAAGCACAGGAGGGGTTAGTGGCATGCACAGGTGCCACCACTGGGCGATGGCCAGAATCAAAGCCCAGACCCAGCTCCTCCAATGCCCTGAACTGCCCCGTGGAGACCGCTCAGATCTTCCAAACCCCCTACCCCAGGACTGGTCTCGGAAGACCCTGCCTGCTGCCCTGGGAGGGCGGCAGGGCTCACGGCCTCGTCCTATGGATGAGAAAACCAGGAGCAAAGACACAGCAGCTTGAACCCAGGCCTGCCAGCTTAGGACCACCTCTCCCCACACTCAGAGCCCTTCGTTCTCCCCTCAGGGGCAAAGAGGTTCAGATCAGCTCTTCTTGCCTGGCTACCCCCATCTCCCTGCCTTTCCTGAGGAGGAAACATTTCTCTGGCTTGGGCCTCTGATCACCTCCTCTGAGCTGGACTCTGGGATTGCCTCCACGTGCCTTCTGTCCCAGCTCCCGGGAGCCCTTTCTGAACTGCTGTATGGGGGAGGGGGCCTGTTGTGGGAGAGGTGCTCTGGGCATCCCAGGCACCTCCAGCCACCAGGCTCCACCCTCATTCTTGGCCACAACCACTGAAGCAGGTGAGATGGAATCTGGGACCCAGCTTTGCACTTTGTCTACAGAGAAACATCCTACATGCTCGGTGGCTCCAGGCAGAGCACCCTGTCCCTCAAGTTCAGGGCCCCTGAGAGAGGCCTGGATGGAGGCAGGAAGGCCGTTTGTATCCGCATATTATAGATGAAGAAACTGAGGCTCAGAGAGGAAAAGGGTCTTGCCACGGTCGTAGAGTGAGTCGCCGGATACTGCTAGGCCAGCACTCTTTGCCAGCCCCTACTGGACCCCTGTGGGGTTGGCTCCTCTGACCCCAGGACCTTGTGGGGCAGCTGGGGTGGGAGACATTGGCCCACAGCCTGCCTGCTAGAGGAGCTGGAGTCCCCGGGAGTCCCAGGCTGGCTCTGGCTCAGCAGCGGGTGGTGGAGCTGCACCCACACCGAGATACTTCCTGGGCCCGGATGCTCGGGAGGTGGCGGGTGTGGCCACAGCACCACCACCCCCTGCGTCTGTGGCCCTGACCGAGTGCCGGGCACACCCCCAGCTCAGAGAAGGGCCAGGGCTCACCAGGGACCCAGAGCTGCAGGAGGCCTAGCTCTCGGGAAAGGAAGGGCCGGGAGCGGGCTGTCCGTGCTGAGAAGCGCATGGCGAGAGGTTGACCCTCGGAGGCATGCGTGGTGGGTTTCCAGGCGGGAAGACGAGTCCGTGCCTGGGCAGTCACACAGCGGAGGAGGGAGGGTCTGTGTCAGGTGTCCACCCCAGCCCAGCACCAACTGCGGGCTTGCCTCCAGGGTCAGCACCCCCCGGTCCTTACTCTAATTCACACTAAAGAGTGAGTGGCTGCACTAGCTGACTGCTGTGCTTGGGGGTGGAGGGGTCGCAATTTTTCTGGAACAATCCCTTCCTCTAGGAGGAGGAGTCTCTGAGGTTGGTGAGCAAGCGTGGGTTTGGGAAACGTTGATTCGGCATCTAGCGAGTCCCCGGTCTGTCTGGCCCCTCTGCACAGCCATCGTCTCACTGATCCCCCATTTATGGAGAGAAGAGCCGGGGACAGAACTGGGAGCCACATCCAGAGAGGGGCCCGAGCCCCCTCCGCTTGTCCCCGAATCTGAAATCCCGCCACCCAGGGACCCGGGGACTACAGGAGCCTTAGAGGTGTGGGACCCCCGGGCCCAGGGGCAGCTTTCTACGCTCGAGCGTATGAGGGTGGCCCCCGTCTTCTGGGGCCGGGGCAGGAATTGGGGGCCAACCTCGCACCTCCGAGAACTCAGTCTGACGGCCCCCATGCATAACACTCGCTGGATGAGCCTCAGTTTCCCCGCTCGCCACTCCTCTCCTTGGCCTTGCAGCTAAAGGGCAGGGGACCAGGGGCAGGGGTCCCCCACGTGACCTTGTCTGGACCCTCGCAGCTCTCTCAGATGCTTGCGCCCTCCTCCTGACGGTTGGCTCCCTTCCGCTCTGGCCTCCTCCGTCAGGACTGAGGCCCAGGAGCCTCCGGAGGCCAGACTGGGACTGTCCTTATCCCACGGGGGCCAGGCTGTGAGGTCTCTGCGCCCCCTCCCCACGGCCTCCCTGCCCAGATTTTTAAAAAGCCGGAGTGACGTGATGGCATGTGTATTTATAGCTGATGTAAACAATCTCCTTAACGAGAAGTTCTCATCCTGAATTAAATCTGTTTATTCCCTGCGTGCCCTCGACTTGGCACCCCGGTTGGTTGGCTGGCAGGGGTCGTCAGGTGGGGGCCTATGTGTCCCCTCTCCACTCACTGTCCTGGGGGCAGGTTTGGGGGCCTCGAGCCCGGCCCACACTGAAGGGCGGGGGATTGCGGGAGTGGAGACTTGTGGGCAGGGTGTGGGCACAGTATCTGGGGTAGAGGCACAGACCAGCAGAACCACGGGTCCTCACCCCATCCTGGCCCCAGCTCGACCTGCCCAGGGAGAGGACGTGGACATGGGCAGGGCAGCCAGACTGCCCACAGCATCCTATCATATCACCAAAGGTATGATCTGGAGGGAGAGGGAGGAGATGGGTCAGTTGATAGACACCGGAGGGAGAGGGAGGGACTATGTAAGCAGTGGGCTTACAAAGTGCCGCTGAGCTTCTCATTCTCTGAACTGCCCCAAAAGCCTGGGAGGTCGGGATTGTCACCCCATTTCACAGATGGGGAAACTGAGGCTCTGGGCCCGGCGGGGGGCTCAAACCTAGGCCTCCGGGTACCCAGTTCCTGCCTCACACCCAACCTAGTCCCCATCCTCGGCCCAGAGGAGAGCGGGGTGAAGGGGCGTTGGCTGGCCGGGCCCATCACTCTGGCTGTCTGGCACCCTCGGAGGCCGGAGGCGTCTGGAGGTAAATATTAGGGCCTGTTTAGATTAAGCTCCATTAATAGCAGGAAATGTCACCGCGGCGCCTGCCCCTGCTTCCTGGAGGCCCGGGATGCCTGAGGCGGGAGCGAGGGCCCTGTCAGAGACAGATGTCCCAGGCGGACGCCCTGGGTTAGACCCCACACCCTCGGCCCCTGCCTTTTCACACTCCCTTCCGCCCCCAGGAGGGACAGGAGCCCAGAGGCGGGTGTGAGGGGAACCCTCGACTGTGTGAAGACACCCCCGGGGCCCTACCCCCTCACGGCCTCCCACCGTCCAGGGGCCGGCCCCACACCTGAGGGGTCTGTGTTCCCCGTTCACAGAGGAGAACACTGACGTTCAACGATGCGATGGGACCTGTCCAAGGCTACCCAGTGCCTGACCCCCTGACAGGAGCCGGGAGCAGTGGGCCAGGGAGGCGGGGGCCCGTCAGCCGCGTGTCAGCGGAAATGGGGGTGCACCCAGGTGCAGGACAGGGGCGGGGGTGAGGGGAGTGAAGGCCTGGGGAAATGGTCCCCCACCCTCACACTCCCCTGCCACCAGGCCTGGGCCCCTGCTGTTTCCTGGGTTGCCCCCCAATTTCCAGAGGGCCACCTGCCCCTTGGAGCCTCCCCAGACCTCCCAGCCAGGCCCCTGCCCTCCGCTGGCAGCCCCTCCCCCAGCCTGCTCTCGGGGATCCCCACACCCTCCCTTGGGTGACCCGTTCTGTTCTGTGCCTCGGTCCCGGCAGGCCCACAGCCCACCAGTCTGCCCAGCACCAGCCCTGACTGTCCACCCGTTGCGTCCCTCCACCTCCTCTGCCCTGCTCCCCCGGGGCCAGCCTGGCAGACTCCTCCCCACCCAACCCCAGGACAGACCACATGGCCCAGCCGAGCCCTCCAGACTGCACCCGGCCCCCAACGCCCTTCGCCCGTAGCTGAGCCCTCAGGGACTCTGCGCCATTTGTCCCCGCACCCACACCCATCGTCCCGGTTCTCCAGATAAGGGTAACGCTCAGCACTTCCCACCGCAGCACCTTCTCTGCAGGCCCCCAGGGAGGCCTCCATTCTGGGAGTCTGCAGCCGGTGGCAGAGCCGGGGCCAGTGGGAGCCCAGAGCCCTCCACCACACCAAGTGGGACCAGCAAAGTAGGGGCATCCGGAAGGGCTTCATGGTGGAGGCTGTGCTTGAGGCCCTCCCTCCAGGTCCTCAGCTTGCCCTCCCCAGCTCCCAGCCCCCTCCCGGCCAGGCCTCTCCTTGAGGTTGCGGCGCCGGGAGTTTTTCAGGCATCGAGTGACCCTAGAGCCTCTCCAGGCTGGCAGGCCCAGGGCATTTCACTCCCAGTTTACAGATGAAGAAACTGAGGCCCAGTGGGTGAGTGGACACGAGCCCAGGCACCGGACCACACACACTGGTCCCAGCCCAGCTCATCTGCTGGTCCGCTGACTCTGGGACCCCCCGCGCCTCGGCTCCACCATCTGT